TTTCTTGATTACAATGCCCCATTGCCTGCGGTTCTGGCAGTTTGTTTTGGATTGGGTCCATAACTTGGAGAGGAGAACGCATGCTCTCCATCTACAAGGTCCAAAGGTCACCTGACCCCCCCAGCTTTTCCATTAGAAAAACATGGGGGGGGAGTAGCTTAGGATTTGAAGGGTTATTGGTGAAAAATGTATTGGATTAGAGGGAACAGCAGTGTCAGGCAGCTTCTTTCATTTGCTGGATCACATGGTCTCCCGCTTGAGAGCTATAATGCTACAGGTTTAGCTTACTTTGGATGGGAGAGAGACCAGGAGATGGGAGGTATAATATAATTTGCAATAGGATACGTGCTAGATTTGTAAATTTGCTTTGTGTTTTAAATGTTGGGAGAGAGACCAGGAGATGGGAGGTGTAATATAATTTGCAATAGGATACATGATTTGTAAATTTGCTTTGTGTTTTAAATGGTATCTTCCGGCTGCTCTTCCAGAAAGATGCTCAGAGTGGCCTGAACTTCTTGTACAAATGTATGAAATGGTATAAAGCACTTTAATCCTCCTATGAGGCTTTGTAACGCTCAGCTATCCAGAGTGATGCAAGCAAACATTTAGCCTGGAAATGCTCATCTCAAGAGAAGCAGCAAAAATTTTCCTCTGACATTTTCTGATGGTCCCAAAGCGATTTGATGGTGCTTTCAGGAATTGGGTTTTCTGTGTGCAAATGAGGCACCTTGTGTAGTTCAAAGAGAGTTCCTGCCTTGTGGCATCAAAAGCCTTGGATGGGTTGCTTGTGTCTTTTTGACAGTTGAGCCAGTCCTGCAGCGTAGATGCACACAGGCTTTGTTTTGCGAAGGGAAAAGGCATTCATTTTGCACAGGGTCGTTTTATGCAGACTGTAGAAAGCTCAATGGGGTGGAAACGACTCATCTCATCCTGCTGGACTCAAGAAACAATGCAGGACCTAATGAACTCTGAACAGACAGCCTCAACCTGTTGAGTACACCTGTTCCATCATAACAAGTAAATTGGGAAGATCTCTTCACATCCCATGTGTTTAAACAGCAAAACACTGCTGCACACCAGTCTAGATAGGAACGTTCCATACATGCTTACAAAAGTTATTTGCCTAACTAACTTGTTGTTTTATCATTAGCCTGAAACAAACAAAACAGTTACCCTTTTAGTTTGAAGGCTGCTGCTTTGCTTTGGAGGTGACTTTTTCATCCACCACCAGCTATTGTGTGGAGAGCATTCATGATTTAGGCGTCTAGGGATGGAGGTAACATCTTATCGGTGTGAATGATTTGAATAGTGGGTTCAAAACCTAGTCAGATGTGAAGGAACAGTTAAGCAGAAGGCAGAGTGGCTGAAAAACACAAGTCTTTTTGTTCCTTAGAACAATATTTATTGAGGCATAATCTTTTGTGGCCTTTCCTCCAGTGCCTAAGGTATCACCCTCAGCAGGGTGACACACTTGTATGTGAGTACACAACACAGTAATTGCTGACTGGGGCAACAATGAAGCAACAGCCACTACCTGGCACACAGAAACTGACTAGAATAATGATTCCCAGCTTTACATCCCCAGATGTTCTTGGATGGCAACTCCCAGAAATCATGGCCAGCATGGCTCGTGATGAAAGCTTCTGGGATGTTTCGTCCAAGAACATATGGGGATCCAAGATTGGGAACCAATGCTTTAGATCAGGGGTCTCCAAACTTTTCAGCATGAGGGCCACATCATATATGTTCCACATTTTTTGAGGGCCGAAGGAAGATCTCCCTGCCTGCCTGCTTCACCTGCTGGCCCACTGGGCCATATAAAAATGCAAGGTAGGCCAGATGTGGCCCGCGGGCCGTAGTTTGGAGACCTGTGCTTTAGACCATGAGACGACATTCTTTGACTCTTTAAGATGACCCTCCAAACCATGGTCTGGAGGATCATCTGAACAAAGCAAATGATGGTGCACATCAGTGGTTCCCGATCTTTGGTCTGTGGATGTTCTTGGACTCCAACTCTCGAAAATCTTGCCAAAAGCTAGTGCCAAAGGCTTCTGGGGTGTTTAGTCCAAGAACATCTAGGGACCCAAGGTTGGGAACCATTGGACTAGAATGACAGGTATCTAGGTGGATCTTGCTGTGAGCCTGCTGATGAGTCCTTGTCTCCCACCACATCCGAGAGGACAGCAAGCTTGCTTAAAGATGGAGGTTTGGTTGCCAGCCCCCACATTTCCACAGGACTGCCTCTCCTATAGCATTAGGCACCTGAGACACTTGCCTCATTCTACTGTGTGGTAGAGCGAGCCCTGGCAGAGATCAGAAGCTGGGCTGAAAAGAAAAAGTGGACTTCAAGGCCAGGGATTGCAAGACACAGAAGTCCTTGAATTGGCTTCCTCTCCATGGAATTGTAATGGTATGGTGAGGAATGGGAGCTAGGTATCATCCTCGCTGCTGGGCCCACATAGCCTTACTCGGCAAGTTGTGTTTTGTCAAAGATTGGCCTGTCTCAATTGCTTTCGGAAATGTTCCTATTTCCATATAGGCTTTCAGTGTGAGCAAGAACACTGGAAAATATGGGGTTTGGATTGCTTGCAATGCAAGCCAGCCAAACAGGAGCTTCTGTACTTTAGACTCACGATATGTAGAGAGGAACCAGGCTAGATGCTTTCCTTGAAGTCTTTTTATGACATTAGGATTACAAATAACTCAATGGGGGTTCCTGTGTTGGCCTCTTGTTGGGAGTGTGCTGGAAAACCTGATGCAACCCAGTATAATCATCATGGCTGGGCAATGAAAGGGTCAACAGATAGAGAGATCCGCACTCTCCTTTTAGATTTCATGGAAAAGAACGCTGTTATTGCTGTCAACAGTCTTGTGTTCAATTTCTAAAGAGGTCAAGGATCGGGTATGAAGACAGCGATAGCTGATGACTCCACTTACAGAGGTCCTGTGAATTTACCCTGAGTTTAAGTTTGCACATTATCGAAGCTATTCAAGAGGCTGAACTCATACTTCAGCACCCTGGATAGCTCCTGCACAGGTCAAAATAAAACCTGGGATGAATTCAGCTCACCTCTGAAGTTGGAGTTATCAACTGCCATTCCATAGCGGAATGGGTTGAAATATCTTTATGGGGCTAGATATTTGTATTCCCACTGTGCCATCTGGGAGAAGGGCCACCCAAGGTCACTTGAAATGCATGCAGCTGGTAGGTTATGCACCTTGTCAGCTGGTGCATAACCTATGGGAGAACTCCCATAGTCCCACTGGAAGAAAGGAATGGTAAGCCACTTCGGACTACATTATACAGTGGTGCCCCGCATAACGAGCACCCCATTTAATGATGAATCCGCATAGCAATGGCTTTTTTGCGATCGCAAAAGCGATCACATTGCGATGTTTTAAATGGCTAAAAATCACTGTGCGATGATCGGTAAGCATTTCGCTTACCGATTATCGCATAACGATGTTTAAAAAACAGCTGATTGGCGGTTCCAAAATGGCCGCCAGAAAAAATGGCTGCCAGCAGCATTTTTGCGCCCTTTCCTCGCTTACCAGGCAGCGAAAATGGCAGCCGCATGGAGGATTTTCGCTTAAAGGTGAGTTCCCCCCATAGGAATGCATTAAACGTGTTTTAATGTGTCCCTATGGGGTTTTTTGCCCCGCATAGCGACGAATCCGGATAGCAACAATTTTTTTGGCACGGATTATCATCGCTATGCAGGGCACCACTGTATGTAGCAAATCCTGGGAGGGTCACCATAAGTTGAACTGACATGATGCCACACAGTTATTATTATAAAACATATTTCCAAAGGTGTTTTTTTGAGAAATGCCTCCCGTTCCCAGGTCATGCAGACTGTAGCAGGAATGTGTATAAAAAGTCTGCTAAATGCCGTCATTCAGTGTGCAATGATGTGCTCAGTTGATTTGATCCCGGGAGGATCTAAAAAGAGAATATGTAAGAACAGATCGGTGGTTGTGTTTGGTTAATTGGTTAATGAAATGTTGATTACGACATTGCTCCTTTGTGAATCAAAAACTTTCAACTAATGTTGTTTTAACAAAGAAAGATACCGTATTTGGAAAGATACTTTTGAAAGGTAGCTGTATATAGTTCATGTTCCAATACACTCCAAAAGTTACTCTATGTATGTGTTTTTAAAAGTAACTGTTCACTTTCTCCTTGTGCAAAACTACCTTTGTATCTCGCAAATCCGAGCATCACCAAAAGTCATGTTCCATCTAAACTGTACATGCAAGTGTACACAGAACTCCTTCGGGACTGTGCAATGGCAGCTAATTTGTTTATTTCTAGTTTTGGATTATACCCTGCCCCCCACCCGATACATGGGGTAAGACTCCTGCGAATTGAGGCCGACAATTAGAGGGAATGGTTGTGGGTTTTTCGGGCTCTTTGGCCGTGTTCTGAAGGTTGTTCTTCCTAACGTTTTGCCAGCCTCTGTTGCCGGCCTCTTCAGAGGACAGCACTCTGTGCTCTGGTGTAGTTGGCTTGGGAGTTGAATATTTATGGCTGTGAGATCAGCTTTTGTCCTTTTCAGGAGATGGGTGATTATGGTGATCAGTGTGTTTTTGTTGTGAGTGTATTGTTGTGATAATTAGATCCCGGCCATGAAAGCCTTCGCGAATAAATTAGAGGGAATGTTGACCATAAATTAGAATGGACATGATGACACACAATTAGTTATTATTATAAAACAAATTCTCAAAGATGTTTTCTTGAGGAAATGCTTCCTGTTTCTAGATTATGTTGACTCTAAATTCTTACAAAAAGATTCTGAAATGCTATAAGCCATTGAATGGTGATACAAAACACCTATTTCATGAGTTCCACAAACGTTTGTAAACTAAAAAAGCTGTTAAAAAGTCATAATCACTCCACATAAGAGATGATATATATATATATATTTCTAACAAACGACTCCCAGTTTCTACCCATGAAACTCTGGAAGTATGACTTTTTTCTCTCCTTTTACTCTTAGGCTACGACGATGCCTCCGAGACAAACTTGATATCTCACAGCGTCCACTCCTCAAAACACGCGCAAGAAAATCGGCCCAGACCCGTTCGCAGGAAAAGAAGCGTTGGTAAGGGATGGGGCAATGAAATGTGTTTATAAAAATGCCATGAAGCAGGGGTGGGAAGTGGAAAGGCTTTGTGATCAGCCCTGAAATATATGAGTCATTATTGGGGGGGGGGGGAAGAGAAAAAGGAAAAAAATGATCTTGCAAATTGAAAGGCCTTGGGGGTGAGGGTAGCAGAATGAAAGGCCCCACAGTTTCTTATTTTCTGCTCTTCTCTACAAGTCAGTCATATTCCAGTGGAGTGACATAGCTGGAAAATTCTTTACATTCATTTCCCCCCCACCCCTCATCACGGCATGCTCTTAGTGAAACACGAGTTAGGAAATGTAGCGTTATGTCAGTTCAATGCAGTGATTCTCAAGCAGTGTGCAAAATCTCGTGGTAGTCTGTCCCTCAGAGGACAATAAGCATTCTTGTAGAGTTAATTGAATTAAATACGTGAAGGCCTTTTCTTGAGCCCAAAGCAGAGCCCGCTCGAGATGTTTTGTGGTACGAGGAAAGGATAAGACAGCCCCATCTCATTTAATGTGCTGGTTGGGTTGGTTTGAGAGCAGAAATTTGATTCGTACGGCTGATGGGACATTATTCTCTGCTGTGTCTGAGGACCGAAGGGCTGGTTGGTCCTTCTGTGATGGAGGGGAAGAAGCTCCTGGGCCCTCCAGTGTCGCTTACTTTTGGTTTAGAAATTGCCAGACAGGCTGTATGAAAGACATGTCTGTTGCACACCACTCGATGTGCAAGAGATAATGTCTATGGAGATTTCTTAGCTTGAGGCAAATCACCTCCAAAGGTTAACGCCTTTCGCATACCGAACCAGGTAGATGGATGTGTGTGTGTGTGTGTGTGTGGCTGCACAAGACAGGACAAAAAAGTGTTGCAAAGTTTTGAATTTCTGGTAAAATTCCTTTTGCTATGCAGTAAGAGTACAGGGATTGTTGGCATGTGGGGAGTCCCACTGATTTACCGTGGCTCAAAGAGATACTTCTTTTTATCTGTATCTATGTGGATTATCTGTGTTGGGGAAATGTGGTGGCGCTGCGGGTTAAACCGCAGAAGCCTCTGTGCTGCAGGGTCAGAAGACCAGCCGTTGTAAGATCGAATCCATGCAACGGAGTGAGCTCCCGTCGCTTGTCCCAGCTCTTGCCAACATAGCAGTTTGAAAGCATGTAAAAATGCAAGTAGATAAATAGGTACCACCTCGGTGGGAAGGTCACGGCGCTCTGTGTCTAGTTGCGCTGGCGGAAACGGTCTTCGGACAAATGCTGGCTTTATGGCTTGGAAACGGGGATGAGCACCGCACCCTAGAGTCAGACACGACTGGACTAAATGTCAAGGGGAACCTTTATCTTTTCCTAAGAGTACAGGGATACACAAAGGAGAATAGAATCAAGTTCCCCAGACATTCCACCCCTTTCTCATTAACTGGCATGTAAGGTCTCAATAACTGAGGCATTTATAGGAGAAAAATGTTCGTCACTTGTGGTTGTGAACAGATCAGCAGCAAACAGGCAAACTAACTCCAGCAGATAAAACAGAGAGAAAGGAACACTCAGTAAAGAGGCGGGGCTCTCTTAGGATTCAGAGGCAGGGAAGAACAATTGGTTAATGCTGGATAGATTGACAGTCACTCCAGCCCAGAAGACGTCCCTCCCGACCAAACTGCAGGCAGCATGCGAGGTTGTAAAAATGCCAACGAAAAGATCTAGCAATGCTAGAGCTGGGGGAGTGAGATGGGGAAATAAAGATCAGTAATGTTTCAGGAGAAGCAGCAGCTAGAGCTGGGGGAGTGAGATGGGGAAATCATCCTCTTGGACTTCATTTCCTAGAATTCCCCAGTGAGTTGAGCACCAATAATCATCCTCCTCCCCCAAGTTCTAAAACATCACCTAAAACCTAGTTTGCATGTTATCTTAGTGGCTGAGGCGATACCTCGAAGAGTCTACCCATGGCTTAGACCCTGGCACATGGCACAAAGCAGAGGGTATCCCTTAACCTGTGACGCCTTTACTTGCTTTTCCAGAGGAGGCCATTCCTGCAGTCTGCAAAACACGGACCGTGATCTACGAGATCCCTCGGAGCCAGATTGATCCGACGTCCGCAAACTTCCTGATATGGCCGCCCTGCGTGGAAGTGAAACGTTGCACGGGGTGTTGCAACACCAGCAGCGTGAAATGTCAGCCGTCACGAATACACCACAGAAACGTCAAGGTCAGTGACATAGGGGAGCCGGGACTTGTAGGGTCGAAGCCCCAGGCCTTTCCGAGTAACTGGCAATAGGGGCAGCATCCCCACCCACCGACCCACCTTCAGTTTAGGGTCCCTCTGAGTTTAGCTGCAACCCTCACAGCTGCTGGAAGAGAAGTGGGCTTCCTCCAGAACGGTGTGTTCTTCCAAGCGGTCTCTGCTGTAACGCAAAGTAGTTTGAGGGTGGTTGGATCCTCATTGGGCAATTGAGAGTCATTAACTTTATAAAAGACGGGCTCCTTCTTTGCTGGTATGGAGCAATCTTGCTGCCTGCTTATTTGAACTCTTCTTAGAATGTGGGTGTGAACTTTCGTAAGGAGCATCTGAACTTATTTAGCTGCCTTCACCGATTGGCCACTAAACTCCCCCCTTTCCTTTTCTGCCCTCCCTGCCTTGACCTGCCAGTCCCCAATTTTTCAACATGGGGTCATTTCTCTTTACCTGAAGGTCAGGGACCCACCAAGTCAGAAGATGGCACATGAAGCAGTAGGGCCAGCGTTGGTTCTGGTCCATGACGTCTCAATAGCAACACGGAATCCCAACAGAACTCATTACCCTTGTTGCTGGTATTTCAGATTTTCAGTGTGGGAGCAGGCGAGAACCATTAGACCTCCCCCCGCCCCTTTAAGGCACAGTAGTATCAAGACAACATCTTGGAGTGACTCTCGTGTAGAAGTTGCCCTGCTTCTCACAGAGGGCTTAAAATTCCCCACTCCCCACTGAAATTCAGGCCCCCCTGGCAGTAAAATTGAAGATACAGTGTTGAATGTTAGATACTAGATGTGTACTTATGGCTGTTACAGGTTGTCAAGTCAAAATGGACTTATGGCGACCCCATTAATGAGCAATCTCCAAAATCTCCTGTCCTCGACAGCCCTGCTCAGCTCCTGCAGACTCAAACCTGTGGCTTCCTTTAGGGAGCCAGCCCATCTCATGCTTGGCCCGCCTCTTTTCCTGCTGCTTTCCATCCTTCCCGGCGTGATAGTCTTCTCCAGAGAATCCTGCCTTCTCATGATGTGCCCAAAGGAGGACAGCTTAAGTTTCAACGTTTTGGCCTCCAGAGAAAGTTCAGGCTTAATTTCTTCCACGACTTAACTCCTGGCAGTCCAGGGTATCCACAAAGCCCCTCCTCCAGCACCACAGAACTCTCCAGAGATGTATAGATTTGTGTTTTTTTAAGATGACAGCTCTCAGATTTCCACAGAGAGTAGCCGTCTGAAACTACAGGACTTCGCCCCTCTAGTAAACACCCTAAGCGTGCAGCATAAAAGGCAGTTACGGTTCCCCTGAACATCTGATGTTGCAAACAGGGGTGCACTTTGTAAGTAAGACATTTATATTCCCCAGTAGGGCTAGCTGTCGCATTAGGCAGAGTGTGGTAGCTGCCTCCGATGGCTGACGGTGGAGTGGAGATAGTGGCTCCTTGGCCATTTCTCTTGGCCAGGATGACAGAGCTATTCATAATACACAGCTGGTCCTGATCCTCGACACTAGCATAGTAGATGCTGTTGTACCTTTTCCAATGGTGAAGCAAGATTTAGCACTGACATTATTATCTAGGCTTGAGCCACCTCAGAGCTTGCTCCACAGCACCAGAAGTCAGAATTGAACCTGCTGGAGAGTGTTTTCCATGGGGGAGGGCTCACCCCATGGTGGGATGGGGCAAGAGTGCTAGTTGCCTTTGGTCCCAGAATCACGACTTTAGGTTCTGGGTTTAGCTTGGCGTGCAGTCAGCCTGTGTGACGTGAGGGAATTGGGTGGCGTCTTGGCTTTTGCCTCAGGATTCTTTGGTACAGTGGTACTTCGCTAGATGACGACCCCGCTAAACAGTGAATCCGCACAACGACTTTTTGCGATCGCTATAGCGATTCGCAAAACAGTCATTCCAATGGGCGATTTTCGCTTGACGATGATTTGGGCCATGCTTCGTGGACCGTTTGTTCGCAAGACGACGATTTCTACAGCTGATCGGCGGCTTCGCAAAATGGCTGCCCTGTGTTTTCGGTACCCATGCTTCGCAGGGCAGCCATTTTAACAGCTGATCGTTGCTGCGCAAAATGGCTGCCCTATGGGCGATCTTCGCAAAATGATGAGGTATTTTCCCCATTGGAATGCTTTAAACGGGTTTCAATGCATTCCAATGGGAAAATGGTTTTCGCATTATGAAGATTTTGCTAAACAGCGATTTCTATGGGACGTATTATCATCATCATCCGGGGCACCACTCTACTGCTTTTCCTCTCCTCGCCTCCTGTAAAATCACAGAATCATGAAGTTGAAAGGGGCCTAAAAGGCCATTGAGTCCTATTTCCCACTCAAGGCAGGAATCCAGATCAATGTATATCAGAAAGATGACTAACTCATTTTCTCTTGAATGTTTCCAGTGTTCGAGAGCTCACCAGCTCCCAAGGTAATTGGTTTCATTGTCGCACTGCTCAAACAGTTAGGAAGTTTTTTCTGATATTCAACCAGAATCTGGCTTCTTGTAACTTGAGCCCATTGTTGTGTGTCCTGTACTCTGGAATGATTGAGAACAGATCCTGCCCCTCCTCTGTATGACTTTCAAGTATTTGGGTAGTGTTGTCCGATCTCCCCTCTGTCTTCTTTTCTCAAGGCTAAACATGCCCAGTTCTTTCAGGTTTTTCCTCTTAGGGCTTGGTTTCCAGCCTCCCCATCATCCTGCTTGCCCTCTTCTGAACTTGCTCCAATTTAGCACCATGAGTTCACACTGCTGGAATTCCTAGTCGGTTCATTTTGAGTCTCACTGAGACCATTTTTGTTCCGAAACTCTCAAAGCAAAACAAGGGTGGCGGGGGTTTGCAAGATGTAGAACAATCACCCTGTTATTTTAGGGGGAATCTGTAAAGAACAAAGTGGTATAGATTAGGGGAGGGTTTTTAACGGATTGTTGTATATTACTTGAGGGGAGGTTGGTTCTGACCCAAAAATGCGTAGGAGAGCTAAATAGTGTGAATAAGAAAACAGAGCAGATTATGCCTTTTTCCCCACCACACATTCCTACAGCCCGCCTCTTGATTTTAGAACGATAGCATGACTCCGGGGACGCTTCAAGTATAAAAATCCCTGCACGGCCATGTTTCCTTAATTAAATATTATGTCGGGAAAATTGGGCTTTTATTTGTGGAAACATTGTGCTTTTGATCTTGGGCGGGGGGGCGGGCAGGGGAGGGGAACGTGTTTCATATCAACTCTTCTCCGGGGATCTGAGATACTTTTAAAAATGGTTTCGTGCCATCTTTACTCATTAAGCAAAATCCAGTTTTGTTTCTTAATATGCTCTTATCAAATGCACATTTTCGAAAATGAATGGTGTTTCTTCTGTGGCCGTCGTTGCTTTTTGATTGGTACAAATCAGCAGCGCCGCTTGAGTGGTTAGATTCGTGGGGGCATGAGGGCATTTGTTCTCACCAGACTTTAAATTTGGACCACTGGACATTGTTTATACAGTGGAAGCTCCAAAGATCTTGAAGCTCAGGATGGTTATTCTAAGCGCAGGGTCGGCAGCTGAAGGCTTTTGTGTCAGATCTGGCCCTGAGGGGCACTGCTGGGGTCTTCCTTGTAAAACAACAACCACAGGAAAATCAGTAGCGGCCACAACAACAGTAACATGAAAAACACAAAGAGAAAAAGTCTGCAACAGGGGGCCCATTCTTGAAACTGGAGGAGCCATGACCTCTGACACAAGGATGAGGAACTGCAAAATACTGTATTTTTCCACGTATAAGACACCCCCCACTTTTCTAACCCCAAATCAGTCTAAATGGGGCTTAGCAAGTGGAGGAGAAAGCAGGGATCAAAGCCCTACAGGATCGCTTCGATCCCTGCATTCCCCTCCACTTATTTTTGTTCTCCCCTTCGCTTACTTCCATGTATATGACCCTCAATTTTTAGTCTAAAGATTTTAGACAAAAGTATAGTCTTATACACAGAAAAGAACGGCAATTCTCTTCGCTTTCCAAGGGTGCGAAGTATTTTGTGGCACTCTTAAAAGAGAGAGAGAGAATGAGGATGATTTTTAATCAGCAGGGTCTGTGTTATGATTTGCCATCTCTGCAACCTCCCCCCCCCCAAGCAGAGCTCCAGTCTTTACAGTAGCTGGGAAGGAAATGGATTTCCTCAGGAAAACTAATATCCTGGTCTGTGTCTTGTTGTGTGGGTAATTAAGATCCGTTAGCATTACAAAAAAACACCCAGTCCTCATTTACTGATGCTGACTGATCTAGGAAACGGGGAGGCTGGCTGTGGGGTACAATAGCTGGATATCAGGAAAACTAATATCCTGGTCTGTGTGTCAGGATGGCTTGTTGTGTGGGTAATTAAGATCCATTAGCATTACAAAAAAACCCCAGTCCTCATTTACTGATGCTGACTTATCTAGGAAACGGGGAGGCTGGCTGTGGGGATTGTCATGGGGGGTGTGTATGCAGGGCCGGACTGGCCATCTGGCAATTCTGGCAAATGCCAGAAGGGCCGATGAGAGAGAGAGAGTGTAAGTGTTCCATGGGGCTCCCATAGGACTTACCGGTGCCACTTTCCCCTCTCTGCCACTTGTATAGGCCAGACCTTCCGTCCAACATTTTGCCCTCCATGCTGGCCAGTTGGCTAGTTCCAGGAGGCAGGGGAGAAGGACAGTAAGATCTTCTTTTCCTGCTGCTTTATCCCCACCTTCTATGCTTTTAGCACTGATGCATCTGGATTTTCGAACCCAGAAATTTAATGTTCAAAAGTAAGAAGAAGGGCCAGGAGTGTAGAGATTTTTTTTTTTAACTGTCAGATGTCACTGCTGTGCAAATCCTTCTGCATTCTCCAGGAGCATTTTCAGGTGAACCACTTTGCGCCCCCCCACTAGCAATAAACTTGGCAAACATTAATTTTAAAAACAAAGGAAGATTGAAGCCAGTCTAATTAAACTGCACACTCCAGAGTCAACCGAAAGGTTTAGC